CTCTCTCTCTCTCTCTCTCTCTCTCTCTCTCTCTCTCTCTCTCTCTCTCTCCCTCGCTCTCTCTCTCGCTCTTTCACTTTTTGTTTCATCTGTAGCACAGTGTGCTCAGTAAACTCACAGCTGTTGGTTTAAATGAATTTCTATTATAATATAGATCTGTCTGTTCTTGCTTTTTTGGAAGTACATCGTTAACTGTGGGTCGATAATTGAAATTCCGTTGTCAGTGGGTGGCTATGGTCACTTAGCATTATTTCTGCTTTCTTTTATAACGTTTTTTGTGTGCAGATATTCAAGGAAGACAAAAATAAAGAAAATAAAAATAAAAAGGACTTTGACGGGGCGCTTTCTGCTTTCTTCGGTGTGTCCTGCAGCTCCATGGCTGTCCATTTGATTCTCTGATGTTATCCTCCCATCTCTTCCTCTGTCTGCCTTTCCTTCGCCCTCTCTGCGCAGTATCTTGCAGAATAGTTTTAACAGGGCCTGAGGACCCGGGTAACATGGCCATATCGTTCAGCTTGCTTTTCTTGACCAATGATAGCAAGTCGGTGTAAGGCCCGATTACGTTTTATGCATCTTTCAATTTTTCAGCAACAACAGCAGCAATAATAGCAACAACAACGACTGCAACAAAAACAACGACATCCATAACAACAACAACAGCAACAACAACACATGTCTTCCGACGAATGTTTGTTAATGATCATGTTCAGATCGCACTTCACTCAGGACTGGATGGGTTTTGTAAACTGTAGAATTTCTGTGTCTTTCTTAGGCAGGATTGCATTTGCTTGGTACATGTAGGCTATTAGATTTCTGGGTTGCGTTTTGTTTTGTTTTAGTAAGTTTTTACGGCACTTGCAACGCACCTAGATCATTATAGGTGCCGAAGATTAGGGGTGCTACAAAAGAGTAACAAAACACAAAAAAGGAGAAAAGATATTTAAAGGACGTAGACGCATGGTTGATAGGAAAGAAAGAGCAAACTACACCAGAGCACCTGGCAACCAACAACCACTTTAGTGTCTTTCTCAGGCATGGCTGTGTGTGTTTTGCACCATTTCTGTCAGTCAGTTTCAGTTATATAGTTTTTTCAGATCAAATTTACACATAGAAATACAAATGTCACATAGCAAGTTCAAATGCCACATAGATCAAGAAAGTTTAACACCCCATAGAAAGTCAAAATATTCAATAGGAAATTTTAGTGCACAATTGTGCTTAACAAGTTGAAATGTACAAATAGCAAAACCAAATGTAACACAATAGCAAGTTCACATGTCACATAGCAAACATCCCCCACAAAGATTATTCAGCGTGAAAAGCATTTTAATGTGCTCAAACTGAGTTGACGACAACCATGAGCAGTATCCTTTTAGGGTGAATTGATCACCATAAAATATAATCCAGAGGATGCTCCCGGGGAAAGAAATTCTGATAGGACTGAAGCAACCAGACATCAATATGCAGCATGGCTGATGCAGAACATTTAGAGACATGAATTTGCCTTCATCGATGAGGCTGGTATCAAGCTGATGGTGAAAAAAACAACAACCGAGGAAGAGCACGGGGTGGTCAATGCTTTGTTCCAGTAGTGCAGGGTCGAAGGGGACCGAACCGCACGATGACATTTGCTGTCAGTGCCGAGAGTGGCCTGGTCTTTCACGAATTTCAAGTTGAGTGAATGGCAGCTATCATTTCAACCCATCCCTCTAAGAAACTGTTCCAACAATCCCAACTACGAAGTACGCTTGGTATGTAACAACACTAGTGCATTAAGGCAAGCTTTAAATGGCAACTCATGATTGGGGGTCAAATATCTCCCCCCCCCCCCTA